TACGGAACGGAACGACTACCGTCGAGAGTGGTTTGGTGGTGTGAAGGTTAGTAACTGATGCAATGGCGACAAACATCAATATTTCAGAAGAGAAAGGTGTTGACGTTGCGGTTGAGTTTTGGCTTCAAGCAATTACGGCAATTAACGAGATTACGAACGATTTCGAGGTTTGTCATTAGATCTCTAGCAAGTGCATTTCATATTCTATAATTGGGTCATCCGTGTAATCAATCAATCACTTCAACATTTAGATTTCAACACCATCCATTAGATAAGTCAGCAACGGAAATCAGCAAATGTCAAAACTACTCTGAACTGCTCAATAATTATCTCTCAATGACCATTTTAAAAAATTTAACAAAATTTTGCTTTAAACCGATGCAAAATGCAAGCCACGAGTGTTCATGCATTCACTCCAATCCACTGCTGCATTGCAACTCGTACCGATACAAGGCGATTTAGAAAGCACTGATTTCTATATGAAGATGAATGTTTCAGTAGATTTCATTCAGTCTTGATCACCAGCAACGCTCCTTAAAGCGATCAAATGTGTAGAATACGAATGTGCAGAAGATTGAGTACTGTATTTTACGCAAGGGACTAAGCTTTGCTGGAAACTTTGTTGCTAGAAACTAGTGGGAATGGAGAAACATCTGGACTCGTCTGCGTATCGGACATTTTTCAAGTCGTCCATATTTTCATCGGGGTCTTCAACTGCAAATTTCTTGCTCGACATTCGCCGTCCTGGGTTTTTCTTTCCTTACCCGCAATACACTACTAAAGACCATAGCATGTGATATGAATTGTTCCAATTACGTTCCAGATGGACATTTACATAAACGAAATGTGGCTGGATCCAGCGCTGAACTTCCAGCACCTCAGCCCTTGCAAGGATAATCTGTCGTTGAATCACCAGGTGTTGGAACGCCTTTGGACTCCAAACAGTTGTTTCATCAATAGCAAAATCGCACAAATTCATGATTCACCATTTCGGTAAGCATTCACTGCATTTGTTCACAGCCAAAACCCTTCAGCAATCTGCACGCAGTGAAAATCCTGTATGATTTAATTGAAAACGGGAAACAAGATTTCTAGAAACGCTTCTTCAAAGGCTCTACTGCTTCAATAGAACTTGAAAACCAAATTAAATCCACTTTCTCCATCTCTCCTTTACCTCAAAACGGTCGCTGTTGGAGAGCAAAACTTAATGTATTCTGAAAGTACATGATGGAACGAAAATGCAATATTGATTGTGAAAAAAATGTTAAACAAATATCACAAATGAGCCATGAAGAATTTCGTTGAGTTACTCGGATGATGTGTTTCCGAGTTTTGGAATGTCATTTTCACGCTTTCAACAAGAAAATGGCATTCTGAAAGCAAGCATCCTGCATAAGGGGAAGCACGATGAAAGCATGTACTTTCCAGCCTCATGAAAAGTAAACTCATCATGTTATTCTCGTATTCAATGCTTGAACAATTGATGTTCGCATCGTGAAAACTTCTGCAGCATTGAGCACCTCTAATAGAAAATGTCGAAAACGAATGGCAACGAATATGAGCGTTTTCGTCCTCATTCAACTCCTTCGACATCAAATCATGTTCATTTGCAATCATCAAGAATTCTGAAAGAAAACCTCATTTCAGCAACATCTTCTTGATGCTCTACCCGAACGGAACCGTGTGGGTGAATTACGTAAGTTTTCGCCACTTCTATTCCA